TGTTCGAAGTAAACCATCAATGATGATTCATTATCTCATTTTATTACCACTCTTTTTCAACCGCCAACACCTTATTTTCACACTGGTTTGCACAATAAATAAGTACGTTATTTTTATCACTTTTTGGAGAGAGAATCAATTAGATATTTAATGATAATGCTAGTACAATTCTCTCTTTTATACTATTTTTCTCACAATCGATGACATTTTTTATGCAAAATTAAAAAGTATCAAAATTAAAGTTACGTATAACGATAACAATAGTTTATTTTTTTTCTACGTTAAAACAGGTTTTAACCGGGTAAAACATATAAAAATAAGACGGTTTCAAATCTTAATCATGCATAAACTCTAACCGATATGTACTAATACCCATCCAATTTTGTCGTATCACCAGATCTGTCATATGCATAACGATAATGACCTAATGACCAAAATGACTTCGGTCATTTTTAAATGACCCGGGTCATTTGGTCACGAGTCATTTTTAAATGACCCGAAATTAGATGACTCAAATGACCAGGTCATTTTAGGTCATTTGCAAAATAGGCAAATGACCTGGTCATTTACCATCCCTGTAGTGGACAGCTTTTGAGAGAGATTATCGGATTTAAAATACTAATGGTCCGCTGGTAACATGATCATAGATAAATATAATTGGCTAGATTATATTTCTTACATATACATAAAACCCGATCTGAGCCAATCAATTCGATTTATGTTACCTGTCAAATCCGATATCTTATTTCTGTATTTGATTGATATCTGATCTTTTGGGTATCGGTTATCAGAAATGGCAGGTTATCGGGTTTGAATTATGGAATAGACATGGTGGATCAATTTATTATCAGTTATAGCAGGTTATCGATTTTGACATGATCGGTTTTGGGAGGGTGTACTGTATTTAATTTCTTGTTTTGTGTGGTTGGTATACTTTGCCTTAGCGGAATTCGGGTCATGATTCTCGATCACGATTTCGGTGTCACCCGGAAAGGACTGCAATGGTGAACTGAAATATGTTAGGTTTCGGATCATGGTCATACCTTTATGAGAAGTACTTGGAATCGGGATGAAACTCATGATTCCTTCGATATTTAAGCACCATGATGAACAGGCACTTAGAATAGCAATTTATTAATTATGATGGCTTATAAGAATTCATTTTATTAGGAAGAATGAAAGGGAATCTGTCTTCTATTCTAATATCAGGGAACTAGCATTTATATACATGCGTAGGTATCATTGAAGAGGCATCGTATGATCTAATGGTGTCTCATTCAATGACATTGCCCTCCAATAACATCCTCTGTCGTTTTAATGTTAACCGTCAAATTTATCAACCAATAACAGGTGGAGGTGAACTAATTAATAAAAAATCTAGTAATTAATACATAAACCTATCGCTATAAATTTACACCAATGTTACGAAATGATCATAGCATCGGTATAATCTTCTCAAGACATAACAATGGAGGTTTTCAAGCAGCCTTCTCAAAAGTGATCCTTATTTACTAAAAATTCATGGTGTAAGCCAATTAGAATGAATCGAGACCAATTCTTAATTAATAAAATGATTTAACGTTAACGAATCAAGAATGTTTTGGCACAAGTTACGATTGTTTAATGCGTCGAAAAGAAAAAATTTATTAATAAAAGGTCGTTTAACCGATCAAGAGCATTATCATTTCGGTTAGCAAGAATAGAGGCCCAAATATCCTTGTTTTTCACAGAGTTGCGCTGACTTGTTGAAAATTTTTATTGGTAAAACTGTAAAGAATAAAAATTGTTTCAACGTTATGGAACTTAAAAATGATAACCTTTGCCACAAATAAAAAAAAGGCAGGAAACAAAAACTTCAAGAATGGTCAATGTTTACCATATTCCAGCTTCATTTACACGACACTAAATACGACCATTTCATTCGTTCTTCACATAATATAACAGTAACGATAGATAAATAGTAATATTAAAGTATTCGTTCAAGCATCAACCGCAATCAGTATTTTGTTATTGTAATGCTTGAGCATAAACGTAATCACAAGTTAATCGCATTGAGGGATGATATGTGAGAATGCTTAAATTATATTATTATTCGTTTTGTTGATTTTTAACGAGATCTAAATTTTTTGCTATCATGAGCATGCAATTCCATGAAAAAAGGAAAAATGGTCTACCGTCTTATTTCATCGAATGATAACTCACTTCCGAATTCGTTGAGCAAAATGCTGAGAACTCTTTAATCAATTTAAGGTTTTTATATAAAGTTTTAGATCCGATTACTAATTCTTATCTTTATGATAATCAGATCAGAATACTTAAAAAAGTCGTGGGACTACCTAGAACACAATACGTTTGGAATCGATGAATATTTGTTTTAAACCTGAGCTTTTCTCAATCAGATCGTTAAACATTTATCTGTTCTGAGACCTTGTTACATTCCGCATGTTGCAAAATATAAACCCGGAATATTGTGTATAGTAATTTAATTTTTTTATATGATTGATGCTCAGCAATGTTCGAATAAAAATTTGTTGATAGACGTTCAGTGTTCTACTCGTTGATTCCAACATCTGCGCTTTCGAAAACTGGAACTCAATTGAGCTAATTTTATTCACGGCGAAATTTTATGTTCTTAAATACAATTTCGAACGTCCACTTAATTTTTAGCATATATGGCTATCTCTAATTTATACTTTCTCTATTTTTTATAGCACATATTTCATATTCGCTATTTCTACCTTTCTCCTATATCGACCATAAATGGCATATGGGTAATGGACTAGGAAAACCCCCTTCGACAGCTAATACTGAAAGGGAGTTTTCCTAGTCCATTACCCATATAGCATAATTGATCCGAGCCACCTCGGCAGCGAACTGGAGCTTATTTTACTATTACAATTCTTTCCAACTTATTTTCGAGTTCCAAATACGTAAAAGTAAAAGAAAATAAAATAAAAATATACATATATATAATGTGTAAATAACAATAATAAAAAATAAAAAGTATTAATGAGAATTATTGAAATCATCTTCCATATAATTATCGTTCAAGTTTTCCCAGCCGTCGGCGTCATAAACTTCGTCGATTTCTTTCTCGAATTCAAGGCCTTCTGTCGATTCACCCCATCGTAGTATATCTATTAGTCGCTCTATCTTATTCATTTTGTTCGCTTTGTTCATAACTTTCAGACGTTCTGATAACTATTTGTTCTGACCAGATCAATTCTCGACCAAATTCACTGGTCAATTGTTGCAATAGATCCTGGTGCAATCTTTCTTTTTTTGTATAATTTGCGATTTCTTCTTCATTTCGGTCAACCCATACTTCATCTTCCTTAACCTCAGAAGACCAATCCATCCAATGGGGTCTCCTTCACCGTCTTCGGGGAAGGAATTATTAGCCATGATACTAAATATTTCTATATCTTCTGCTGGTCTAAAACACAAACTTCTGTGGTACTTGGCTGTGGTGAAGAATTTGTATCCTTCTATTTATAGGTAATTGTTTTCCGGATCTACATTCTTTAGGAAAGTGTTTCTTATTTTTTCCGGATCAAAAACGCGAAAAATATAAAAAACTAATGTCTAAACCTATCCCGGGACATTAATAAAAAATGTCGGTGAGACAATTTTACCTATAATACTTGCCCTAATTCCAACATTAAACTAATATTAACATTACTTTAATTAATGTTTAAAATTATATGACTATGCCGGGCTTTAACCATCCCTTTCTTTAGTAAACGTTTGAATATATAATATATATATACTTATCCATCTTTTAATTCTCTTTTTTTACAGGAATTAAAGTCTACCTGCCACTTATGGCGCCTTTCTGAAGTGCAAAATATTTTATATTTTTCATGATTTCTTTTTGTCATAATACCAGTTTACAGCGATTCATGATAGATAACCTGAAATAATGACTATAAGTCTTTTTTCAGGCTACTTGTTAGCATTTGAAACCTTTTCAAATATATCTACCAGTCTTCATCCTCTTCACTATTGAAGGTCTTTGTATCCAATTTGTTTCGCATTCCTGGTTTGGTTCTCAACATCATTATCCTGAACTACTCCCGTTGCAACATTTCAGGTGCCTTAGCAAATTCTTTTAGGATATTTTGGACGCTTTCCTGAGAAGGTATGGTGCCCAGATTGATAGGTATTTTTTACTTCATTTTTCGAGGATTGATAAATTTATTTGGAGTCGTATTTAATTAATATGACTTTGATTAGAGTTGGAGCCGGTTTATGTTAAAACCGATTAAACCCGTTTTTGTCATATGAAAATAAAACCGGTTCCAACCTCTAAATTTTGATTTTAAATTCTTAAACCTTGACGTTAACGCTAAACTAAAGCTGGTACGTATTGTATACCTGTATGTATTGATATCAGATATCGGGTGTAACCTATTGCTTAATGACGAATGTAATTTCATTTTAACGTTTAAAGACAATATTATGAGCACATGATTCTATCTGACCTTTATTTATTGTTTATGTTTGTACTCTAAGAACAGCCCAAGCTTCTAATCAGCGGATTCTCTTTCTTTCTATTTTTTTGTAATAACGATGAATGATTTACTGAAAACATTGTCTAAAGATTTATGTCAACTTCTTGACATAGCAGATGAATATAATGTATTGATCACTGTCGGTACTGATGAAAATATAAAAACTTTCAAAGCTCATACTGTAATCTTGCGTTCTCGTTCTGCCTATTTTCGTTATGCTTTATCGGGTGATTGGGCCAGAAAAGATCATATTGTATTTAATAAGCCAAACATTTCACCAGAGGCATTTGAAGTTATTTTGAGGTATGAATGCTAAAGGTTTATGTGTAAATATTTCTCATTAATTTTAAAAAAATTTTTTGTTCATCAAAGATATATTTATGGTGCGACTATTAATCTATCAGCAATTGACATGCTGACACTCCTTGAAATTTTAATTGCCTCCGACGAGCTTTGTCTCGCCGAGTTAACCAGTTTCATCACCAACCATCTTTTTTCCCGTCATAAACAATGGATGCGAGAAAATTTTATATTAATTCATAAAATAGCATTCCTTCATGAATCATTTGAGAAACTTCAAGAATTTTGTTTGAAAATTATTCAAATTCAACCTGATGTAGTATTCAAAGCCAACGATTTTGCAAACATTGATACCAGTTTACTAGCTGCATTGTTAGAACGTAGTAACTTATACATGCCAGAAATTGAAATTTGGGATGCTCTTATTAAATGGGGAAAATTCAATACATCACCTCCTCTTGATCCAGATTATGAAACATGGTCAGAAGAATCATTTGAAAACTTAAAAGAAATTTTAGATCAGTATATTCCTCATATCAACTTTACTGCAATTTCTTCGAGTGATTTTTATCATAAGATTCTACCGTTTAAACGTATTCTTCCAACGGAATTATTCGATGATTTACTTAAATTTCATTTAGCACCTCATATTAATCCATCTCATCCAATTTTACGTTCACCAAAGAGAAATCAACAAATTCAATCAATTTTTATCAATCATATTCATGCAGCTTGGATAGTGAGTCAAGTTGATTACGATAAACTACCTACATTTTATAATGGAAATAATCCAAAACTATTGCCTTACGATCTAAAATTATTAATACGTGGTAGTCATGGTTGTATGTCAGACGATTTATTTCATAAGTATTGTGATAATCAAGGTCCTACTATTACTATTATAAAAGTTAGAGATACGGATGAAATTTTGGGTGGATATAATCCCCTTTCATGGGATTTCAACACAAAATGGGCCGAATCTTCTTCTAGTTTTATATTTTCTTTAAATAAAGAGGATGTTAATAAATCTATTGTTAGCAGAATAGAGTACCCTAGCAAAGCAATTAGGAATACACATGGACCTTCATTTGGTGATGGTGATTTGTGGGTAAAAGTTACAGCTCATTTAACTAATAATATTACCCTTCCTAGTTTTTGTAGACAAAAAAGTTATGAGAAAAAAATTACTGAGTTTGAAAAATTTTATGTGGAAGATTATGAAGTTTTTCAGATTATTAAAAAAACAACGGCCATTTATCTCTGATGAATTCTTTATATTATTTCATAATTATATGGATCAAATTTGTCACAATAGCAAAAGCAAATTTACTCTTATATTTATAATGCAAAATACATTATTACATTTTATACCATGTTTTATATATTATAATTCTTATATTATAGTTTTTAAAGAACTTAATCGAATTCTTCGAAACAGAATCTAATTTTTGTATATAATTTTAATTTGTCAGCTTAAACCTTAGTTTGAATTATCCTTAGCAAAAATGTCTTTTAATTAAGCATATTGGTAGAAATAAATTCATGCTCATACCAGCATTCTCATTACACAAGTTATATCTTGCCAAACATAACAAAACCCAGTATTTTTCTCTTGCAAACTACACTTTTGGTATTAACAGAATCTTGAGGCTATTCTTCGAACAAAAGAATAATTGATCTCTTAATAAATGAATTATAGACGAGGAAATCAATTAACAGAACTCATATTTCTCCAATAAAATCGATTATAATACAAACACATGAAATAATCCAATCAAATTTCGGATGGACGGGTACGAACAACTATAGAAAAGCGTTCTTATCGTTATCCTGTACTCGGGTAGAAGCTTTTATCCTATGTCCATGGGTATAAATTTTTGGATCTGTCATTTTACCAACAACCTTTCGTTGCAATTTTGATCATATTATTAATGCTACCAAACTTTTATAATGCTGGTATATAGTACATTGTCATTATAACAGATAAAAGTTTATTATTATTTTGCATCACCTGTTAATATAGTGAAAAAGTTTATATTATTCATATCACTTATATAAAAGAGTAAAGAAATGTGTGTAGTTTTTTTAACAAAATTAAAATGGCTCAAAATAAAATTGATAATATATGGGAAGAATATACTATAAGAATTAACAAAAAGGGTAAAGAATATTATAAATGCAAAGCATGCAAAAAAGAATGGGCAAAGAATATAACTCAGTTACATATTTTACTACATGTGCTTTACACAATATAAGTAAAATTTCTAATATTAATGAAAGGTAAAGTTATTAAATTTTAATAATCTTACTTTACAAGGTTATATTTTATTTAATATAATTAAAATTTTAAAATTTTAAGCCTTTTTAAAAGCTGCTCTTTTTTTAATATGTTATTATATTATTCTCTTTTAATTTGAGAATAAATAATACACTTAATATATACTAAAATAAAACTCTTTTCCGTTTATCACTTGTACAAAAATTTGCCTAAACCTGCATAACTTAAAAAATTTATTTTTACAATAATTTACTAAGATAACCTATTTTCTTGCTCTAATAAAAGTTATTCTCTATATAAAATCACATATAGTGTTAAAGTTTTAATTAAACCGGCCCAAAACTCATTCAGTAACGGCCTCTTAGGCCAAATAGGCTTCTTTTGCCGTTTATGCCAAAACTAGCTTCTAAACTTTTGTTCAAACTTAGAACAAATTTGTTTTACATACTTTCCTTTTCAAAACAAGCTATAATAGACCTCTGTAGCTTCAATATTGACCGAGTTATAAGTAAAACAATTTCTATTTTGTTTACTTCTTTCTTTCTTTCTTTTATCTTGGGGAATTTTTTTCCCAAACATCTAGAAACGTTTTTTGTGCAACCTACATTGCCCCCAATCGTGCTACCCGCGCCCTACACATCTCTAAAATTATTGGTATCTGTTAAATTACACTAAAATTACTTAATTATTAGTTAATATCGCACAATTTTAATATCTGCCTTTTTAGTAACTTCTTATTCATACAATAAGATTTCCTTTTTTGTCTTGTGCAACACATGATATCATGTGACTTTGTGTAATATGAAATTTCGGAATTCTATTTTAGATCACGTGACCTTGTGTAATCTAAAGACTAGACCCCTTTTTATCTTACCTCTGAAAACCACATTCTAATATAACTTCTACTTTATTTAATACTCTCCTTTTAACTTAGAAAAATTTTCTAAAAAATTAAATTTTTAACAACCAAAACTTACTAAAACTATTAAAGTTTAATCTATTTTAACTATTTACAATGTCTAAGTTAATCCAGGAAGAGCTGAATACTATCGATCTTGATTATATCCATGCTTACTTCCCTAAAAGATTTGGTATTATCTTCTTTGAACACGCGCCTAATACAAAGCTTAGACCAACTCCAGCCAACCAAGCACCTACAACATGCCTTACCAGAACCACTCGTACTCAAATTACAAAAACAGCCCACTTTTTTCGCACACCTGAAACTATATCTATTGTCACATGTCTATGCAACAAATATCATACTCACTTTATTGCTAAAAGCAATGTTACTTATTCATTAACTTCTATATCCTTATTTACTAACATGAAAATGGGAAAAAACCAAAACAAAAAATCTGAAGACTTTATCGAACAAGTCTCTCAAACTACTAATACAATTCTACCATCTTCTACACATGAAGCCTGTTAACATACCTGTCCCAAATACGCTAAAAATATTACCTGTCGTATCTACGGTGATAAACATTACCCTAATGAAATCCATATTACAGTAGGCGAAGAGATCTTTCACATAAATTGTGCTCCTACTGCATCCTTCACATCAACCACTTCTACTATTCCAACGATTTTAGCTGCTATTTCTACACTTGATCCATCTAGAAAAAATCTAATTTCTGTTTTTCAAAATATTCAAAATACCTCCTCCAGCCAAGTATCTACTTCTTCTATCTCTTTTACTAATAACCCATTCCTAAAACTTCTTACCAAATACATCAACATCAACACAAGCAAATCATTTCAACTTTCTCAATCTCAAATTTTGCTCTCTCAATCTCAAGCCTCTACAGAACCTACTTATTTAAGCAAAGCCAAATCTACTATTAATTCTCTTTCTTCTACATTAACACCACTTACCTCTACCAAAAGCCCTCAGCTCTCTCCTACAAGGACTATATTTTGCTCAATGGAAATTGATTCTGATACTTCTATTAACAATAACCAATCTATTGATTTTAATTCTACTAATGAGCAACAAACTAAACCAACTTATCCTAAACAGGATATATCTAATAACCTTGACTGGTTCTTGACTTACCCTATTACTGAAGATATGGAAAACAATACTTCTTTAAACACACTTGGACACCAACTTCTTAACTTTGTTAAACCTCATTTTATCAAATTTGCACCTGGCAAAATTGTTAAAATCCTCTCTAATAATAAACAAAAAGGCAAAGAAATTAGATACACCTTTAACTATTTAATGGTCTCTTTTGCAGAAAAACGTCCTCAATTCCTCATTGACTTAATTCTAGAGGCAAACCCTTTACTAAACAAAGACACTATTCTTCTTTTTAGCATTATTCTTAATACCTTTAAATCACTTCTTCTCCAGTTCACAACTATGCTCTTTACTCAACTTAACTACAAAAAAATTTTAACATCTTATAGCTCTATTCCTCCATATGCTATTTACAACCGTAATCAAGTTACTCTTAATTTGGCTCGAATTCATCTCTTTCTTCAAAACAAATACCAAACAATCCACATGCAAAAATTTATAGAAAACCTCGACATAAAACCTATCCACTTTAGAATCCATTACTCGTTTAGTGAAGATACACATAACAAATCTCTATTCCAAATCCATCATGATGATCAATTTAACATTAATGTTGCCCTCAATATTCCCAAAAAGCAATTTTAAAATTCCATCTTTTAAACCATTCACTAATGATCTTGATGAATGGTTCTTTTTTTTCATTCCAATTTATTCTCGACAATTCTCTCAACAATCTAAAGATACAGAAAAAAGAATCTATAATCATATCCGATATAAAATTGCCATGACCTTTGCCTCCGAATACAAAAAGCTCCTTCCTCCTACTTATAAAATTTCTACTATTACTTCTCTTAGCAAACACAGAGAAGCAGTAACCAAAGCAACTCTTCACCATTTCTATACTTGCAAAGCAAATAAGGAAAACCCATGTACAATTCTTACTACCAATACTACAAATGCTGAATTTACTAACCAACACATTTATCAAAATATCTATCAATATTTCTACAAATACTCTTTTACTTTATATCCCACTCCTGCTTCAACCTCTTCTCCATCTGACCAATCCTTTCCTATTAATCACCCTACATTAGACTTTACAATCTTTACTAAAGATAGAACATACTCTACCACTTTTTCCAAATCCTTTCCTACTCATACTTTTTCTAACTTAGCAAACGAAGCAGAAAATTTTTATATTAAAAACAACAATACTGAACCTAATATTAACTGCAACACTTTCTATTTCTACTCCTACTTTAATGCATACCTCAAAGTGGTAGCTAAAAATGACAATATTCTTAACCTTTCTTATAATGCAACTATCTATAAACTTATTAGATCAACCACACATTCATTGGCAGAGTCATCTCTTACTTCGAAATACTCAAAAACCCTAAACAAACCTTTTCCCAAATCCGTTCTAGATACAATGAAGAGTTCTTGCCACAGGCTAAACAACTCATTATCGAACACTATAATATCACCAAACCTACCTTTACTGACTTACTCTTCTTTAACTATCCTTATCAAAAACCTTTAAACACTCAAGAACCAGAACAAACCCATAAAAACAATCAATCTTTTTAATTAGATCTTCTACAAAAAACATAAAAGCAGCTGCCGTCTTTAAAATAATAATGTCCTCCATATTTTGTAGACCATTTTCAGAGGAGAATGATGTAAGTAGGCAGGCAGGAAAGCCTATTTACGTGGAAGAGCCAATAAATGATGGTCAGACTCAATGTACAGAGCAGACTCTGGCTTCTTGCACAGCCATGAAAACCGGGCATACGGTAAGCGATTTTGTAGAAGACATCTCTCTCTCTCAATCACCAATATATCTCATCCTATTGAGGAGACATGCTTTAATAAATTTCTTTACAAATACAACCTTCCTCTTCTTCCATCACCCCAAACTCTTAAATCATTCTTATAACACCTCCTTACAAATCACTTT